CCCTGTTGGGTTATTTGTGGACCTGCGTAAAGCTTTTGATACTGTCAACCACCAAAACCTTCTTCTTAAATTACATCATTATGGAGTCAGAGGACACTCCCTACAATACCTCAAATCCTACCTTACTGACAGGCTCCAATATGTTTCTGTGAATAATACAATTTCTCCCACCCTACCCATCAACATTGGTGTTCCTCCGGGCAGCATACTTGGCCCTCTCCTCTTTCTCATCTACATTAATGACCTTCCAAATGCCTCCCAACACCTCAAACCAATTCTATTTGCTGACGACACAACCTTCATTTACTCCAGTCCTGACCCCCTTGCTCTAAATGCCACAGTAAATACTGAGCTAAATAAAGTCCATCTTTGGCTAACTGCCAACAAACTCACCCTTAACATTGACAAAACTTTCTATATTCTGTTTGGCAATAAATCCTCTAATCAAATAAATCTCAAAATAAACAATACCCAAATTTGTAATAAATTAGATGGCAAATTCCTTGGCATTCTCATTGACCACAAGCTGAATTTCCAGGGACACATTCTAAATATATCAAAAAAAGTCTCAAAAACTGTGGGCATTCTTTCTAAGATCAGATATTATGTACCACGCCCTGCCCTGGTGACTCTCTATTACTCCCTTATCTATCCATATCTCAACTATGGTATTTGTGCTTGGGGCTCTACTACCCAAAATCACTTACATCCTCTAATTACTCAACACAAAGCTGCTATTAGGACAATATCCAACTCTGGCCCCAGGCATCACTCGGTACCCCTACTCAAATCTCTGAATATGTTAGACATTAAGTCACTGCACATTCTCTCATGTGTATTATACATATATAAAACGCTAAACTATAATGCCAATCCTGATCTCAAAAGCTTCATAGAAGGATGTAACAGAACCCATGAGCACCACACCAGAAATAAATACAGTTTTGATATTCCTAGAGTACGACTTAATCAAACTAGAAATGCTCTACAAATCAAGGGGCCCAGAATGTGGAATGACCTTCCCAACCATGTTAAAGACTGTACCTCTCTCAACCAGTTTAAGTTAAAAACGAAGCTATACCTAATAAATTCCCTGTAACCTACCTTACCCTTCTATTGGCAACCAATGTCTGTTTTTTTTTTAAAGAGCGCTGTTTGTCGACACAATTGTATTTGTGCTGCTTTTTCATCTATGTTTTCATTCTACTCATTATGCTCAATTAGTATTAAGCTTGTCATTTAAGTTTATCATGCCCGAAACGCTTTGCGTAATAGTGGCTTTAGGCATTGTATGTACTAGCTCTACCTATAAGTCAACCAATCTTTGTAAAATTTATTGTATGTATGTACCTTACCTAAATAAACATTTTATTTTATTTTATTTTATTTTTATATGTGCATCTATGTTGGCTGATACCTATCTACCTCACAGTACAGCTGAGGGAGGCGAGGCAGCCACCTTCAAGGAGACCCAGAAAACTAACAAGTACAAGGAGCTAGAACATTGTTACAGGTTTGTGCCGATAGGCTCTGAGACATTGGGTTAAATGTGCATGTAAGTTCCTAAAGGTGGGGGTGAGGAATGCATTAGGAAAACTAAAGACTCAAGAGCAGCCAGTTTCCTGTTCCAGCGCCTCAGTGTCGCGATCCAGAGAAGAAATGTGTGCTGAATCTTGGGCATGCACCCAACCTTCGAAGTGCTTGATGAGGTCTTACAAAATATTGCCTTGACACACAACACAACCAATACAAGTAAAATGAAGAACACACCAACAGGATACCTTAATAAATGTCAGATAGACAGATTCGATCACTGTTGCAAGTCAAACACCTCTTCGAATTCCTCTGAAGTTGGACTCGTGCCCAAGATGCAACAGGCATTTCCCCTCTGAATCGCGACACTGAAGCACTGGAACAAAAAGCTTTTTGCTCTCTGGTCTTTGGTAATGCCGATAAATTTGTTACATAATTCCTTCAAGAGCTTCAATGCACATTTTCCTCACGAACCAAGGGTCTCCAAACCGATCGGAACAAAGCTGTAGTGGTGTGCCAGCCTTCTATAATTTCATGGCTTTCTGCATTTTCCTGAAAGAAGCAGTGCCACCCCTTCGCTTGTGCTGTGTTGGAGGTAGGTACTGGCCAGTATGGAAGCGCATGTGTAGGTCCCACACTACTTGCTTACCATCCTTCAAAGGAAGCAAGGTGACCCCATCTGGGTGCTTCTGAGGTTTGTTCGGTCTGAATAGGTGTGGTTCTCTGTGCTGGGCAGTGGGCTGTAGCAAGGCTCCTCTTGATGATGTCGTTGACTTCTTCAGCACGTGTCTTGCAATCTTACCCTGCGATTTATGACATACCAGACCATGACTACCATATTGGTCTGCCATCGCGATTCCACAAATGCACCTATGCTCAGCGAGGATTGGGGGGGGGGGGTGGCAAGGTGAAGGGCAACTCCAATATGGAGAGTCGAGTTCTTCCAGCTCCTCAGATGGCAGGCAGGAACCCTGAATGCAGTGTACATTTCTCCTCTATATCTCCATGCTGAGGGAATAGAAAAGGAAGCTGGAAGCTTTAGGGTCACTTGTTGTTTCAGTTAGCCTAGAACCCAGTTTCTTAAAAAACTGGTGGCATTCTTACTCCAGGCACCGAGTTTTTCAGAATCAATGGGGACAAAATTGTAGTGGTGACCCATTTCTCTGTACTTACGGGATTTGGCCGATTCCCTGTGAATGGCAGCACCACCCGGATGTGCAACACTGAAGTCATTGTAGGTGTTAGCCAGTGTTGGTACACACGTGTAGTCCCATACCAACTGCTTGCCATTCTTCCAGGGGTTCACTGTGATACCATCTGGGTGACCAATAAGAGCAGCAGAGTAACGGGGCATAGGTAACGGGGCTCTCAGCTAGGTATCCAGCTGTGGTGAGGCTCCTCTTGATGATGTCGTTAACTTCACTGTGCCTCCAGTGCCATCCCCTGTACTTTGGCTGAGTAGATCATGGTGGCCATACCTGTCGACCACCACCTCACCGCAAATACACCTTTATTTGGTGTGGATTGGGGCAGCAAGGCGGAGGGCCACAGCAATTTGTAGGACGTGTGGTAAGAGACTTGTGCCAGTAGCCAACATTGGGGTTGCTAACAGGATATCCCCTGCATGTGGGGGCTGCTACTGCTGTTAGACGTGCAGCAATGTTGTGTTACTCGCCTCACATTATATATACTGTATATTATTATTATATATAATGTGAGCCACCAAGTGCTGTTGGGTCGTTGGGGATATAGCCTAGGCTACCAATGGCTTTTGATGTTTTGATAATGATATTTGGCAACCTAACGTTTAGGGAACATAACCAAGCAAATATTGTGTCAGCCAGAGCAATAATAGGAAGGATTATGAGAATTTTCAAATCCAGGGATCCCATCACAATGGTTGTACTCCTCAAATCACTTGTGGTGTCCCATCTTGAGTACTGCTCAGTACACACTTTCCCCTTCAGAGCAGGAGAGATTGCTGAAATAGAGGGAATACAGAAAACACATAGCATACGTAGACGCAATAAAGCACCTAAATTATTGGCATTGTCTCAAAGCTCTCCAAATGTACTCGCTAGAAAGGAGACAAGAGAGATATCAAATAATATACACATGGAAAATACTGGAGGGCCAGGTCCCAAATCTATACAGTAAAATAACAACATACTGGAGTGAAAGATATAGAAGAAAATGCAAAATAGAACCAGTGCAGAGCAGGGGTGCTATAAGCACAATCAGAGAACACTGTATAAACATCAGAAGTCCATGGTTGTACAACATCCTCCCAGCGAGTATAAGAAATATTGCTGGAACAACCGTAGACTTGCTTCAAGGGAAAACCAGATTGTTTTCTTCAAAAAGTGCCAGACCAACCAAGCTGTGGTAGATATGTGGGCCTGCAGGCTGCTCCAAGCAACAGCCTGTTGGACCAAGCTCTCACAAGTCAAGCCTGGCCTCGGGCCAGTCTTGGGGAGTAGAAGAACTCCCAGAACCCCATCAAGTAGGTATATTTTCTAAAGTGACATGAGGTACCATTACATGATGCGTAGATGCAGAAAACTGCAGTGGTGTGCTGTAAATGTCAGTCTTCCACTGTGAACATCATAACCAGCATTGTGTTTACTGTCTACAAGGTTCATAATCTTTATCACAGTTAGGATCTTCTATGACACTATTACAGCATTGCAAAATAATTGGTTATTTTTTAATCATTACTGAGTGATGGTGTGGTTGGGACCCGTTCTCGCAAATTTAATAAGTCAATATTGACTTATTAAATATGTGAATAGGTGACATACTTAACATAATAGATACCCTTAAAAAGATTCATAGAAAACACCGACCTTACCTAACCTTGTTACTATCTTAAGATAAGCATCTTATTGCTTCGTAATTACAATTATTACCTAACCTATAATAGGTATAGGTTAGGTAATAATTGTAATTACGAAGCCATAAGATGCTTATGTTAAGATACTAACAAGGTTAGGTAAGGTCGGTGTTTTCTATGAATCTTTTTAAGGGTATCTATTATGTTTAGTATATCACCTATGCACGTAGTTAATAAGTCAATATTGACTTTACGAATTTGCGAGAACGGGTTGGGGCACGAGCTGCATAGCAGTGCTGTGAGCTGCTGCAACATGTGTTGCCTGTGCGTGCCCTCTCAATAATGAGGCCCTCACACCAAGGAAGGGTGCCCCATGATAATTTTTCAAGATGGCATCTGTTTATTGGAGACCTGAGGAAGTTAATGTGATTCCTGAATACCCACAAGAGTTTTAAATCTTATGCTAGACTTAAAAGTGACCCTAGTCACTGTGCACTCTACCGAGGAAGTGACCCTGGTCGTTGTGCACAGTTGAAGGGTTAATTGTGTGGAGCTATCTCAGTGCAGCTAGCAACAGTAAGCCACTATTCAGCCTCCAGAAAATGCTGAAAGTGGAGAAAGAAAAATATTTACATACTGTATATATTTTTTTTTTATTAATGAACAGATGAAACCCAGGGTCCCTCCTAAATTGCCAGTTACATGCAAAGTCACTATCCTTTGAGAATCATATCGGTGCTTCATTTAAAAAATTGGAAATGCACTACAGTATGATGAATTCAAAGCAGCTGCTCCAATTTATATTATAATTTACCAGACTTATTTTGATCTGAAGCAAAGGCAAAATAAATGAGTAAACTGTGGTGGGTTGATCTAAGGCAGTTCTTATCCCTGTCTAAATCTGCTGTACTTTCAGCAAAACAAAACAGAAATCCTTCCTGACCAAATGCATAGTTATATATTATCAGTAAATATTATTTTGTCAATATGGATGTTACACGGGGAAAAAATCTAATATTAAATGTAATGAAATGTCTCTGGTGGATCCTGTTTGTATCTTCCTTGAGCTACGTACCAGGAGTTTTTCCATACCCAGGTACCATACCAATTCTAATGAATCAAGAGAACTCCTAGTCTCCTACTGGAGACTAGGACCAGAGTCTGGCCTCCTTAATAGAGGCATAGGGAAGTGGGGATTCATCACCACCATATTACTCCACAAAACTCACCAAAAGTTGGAAAGTCAGTTGGAGCCATAAACAAAATTCGAACCTGCATACTTGGTACTCCCAAGCCCATGCCACAGACCACTACACGACATAGTGGATTTTCCTGTCAAATAAATTTTACCAATGGGTTGTCCCTCCTTGGTGAATGGGTCAGCCTTGGTTTCTGTGTATTCAGACACAGTGTTCAGCCCCATGTGTCTTTCTTGGCTCTGTTTTTTTGGAGGGATAGTTGGGAGTCATTTCTGGGTGTGGGTGGTGGTCGTTTGATCTGGGGATCCATTGGCAGCTGCTTTGCTGGTGCCAGCAGTTATTGGTTATATTGTGCATAATTTCTCAGCATAATTGTTATCTCCAATGTCTGGTGACAGTTTTAACAGTCATGACCATTCTGTTCTAGTTTTGGCTGCTCATTGGCTGTTGCCTGCTGCTTCTGCCCCTCTTTATTTGGCTTTCTGGTGCCCCTCTTGATGCTGCCTCATCTGCACGGTTTTGAGTGTAGTCTCGGGTTTTCGTGCCTCTGGCTGGTTCTTCTCTTGAACCTTGATCTGGTTTGGGTTTCACTTTCTTTCATGCCCTTCTTTTCAGTGACTCCACCTTCATTCCTATTAATTTTGTTTTGGCTGCCTTCTTTTGTCTTGAAACCCTCATTCTTCCACCTGAACTGTCTTTTCTATTGGCACATGAAGCTGCAGATAGATGTCCAACTCTTGGTGGTGGGCTCGATTGTTTCAGCCAAGGGTTCCTCCTGCACTCTGCTCGGTAGGGGGTGGTGCATCATTTCCTACATTTCCCTCTGGATGTTAGAGTGGGCGCTTCGCTTCGCTGGACTTGTTTCCATAGTTCATTGTTCTAGTAACAGATTTTCTTGCAGGGTCATTTGTTGTTTTGCCATCTTCCTGCTCCATCCCTCCATTTTTTTTTTTTTTTTTTTTTTTACACAGGAGTAAATGTGGAGTCACATATTTACAACACATAGTCAGCAGTCACCCCGCTGACTACTGTTAGCAGGCTGAGAGCATTCCCTACCTATGGATAGGAAATGTTCTCAGCCTACTAACCTTACCCCTACTAGTTTTTTCCTGTATCTTGACCTATCATTGGTTTTACTCCCTGGTCCCAATTATTGCTGGGGGAAAATTGCCTGCTGCTTTTTGTTGTTGGACGGTAGTAGCCCAGTAGACCAGTACTACCCCAGTAAAACGACAACTCTACCTTACACCAACAATTACTGCTGGGGGACCAGTAGTAATTTCCTAGTCAATCCTCCCTAGATTTTGTCATGGGACAATTTACAGCCGAGAATTGAAGTCATTCACTGCTCGACTGTCTTGTCCACTCCTTGCTTTCTTGGTATTGGCCAGTTGTTCAAGGTTTTGTTCTGGTTCTTCTGCTCCCTTCCTTCTAGGTCAGCTCGTTTGTTGTCTCCGTCTCCATGGTGAGCTATGCAAAGAGGGAAGCCCTCCCAGAAGTCCAGCATTGAAGGTAATGAAATGCATCTTATTGGTGGGCTACCTCTGTATCCCATCGTTTTGGCAATACCCGTCATCCTGTGGTGTTCAGGAAGTCTTGCTTTGGTAATGCATGAATGATGGGGGGGATAGCTGCCCAGTACTCCAGTATGTCAGAGCTGCCATCTGGTGGTGCGAGAGTACCACCAGATGGCAGCTGTTCGAATCCCCCTGTTCGAATCAAGGTTGTAAATGCTGTCCAAACAGTAGCTCATTTAGGTGACTTCTACTCCTCTGGTGGGTTTTCCTTCAGCAACTTGATCTTGTATCCTCATTACCTTATTTATGCCTCTATCAAAGGGGGCTAAATTCTGGACCCAATCACAGGTAGGTGCTCATGATTCATTAATGCCTGGTGTGGTACTTGGGTTCGGAGGACTTAAGATGGATAGTTTGGGAAGACACAGAGAAGCTTTTCAAGAAATTGAGACTTGCTTCTAAAATTTAAAATACAGTATGCCATTATAAATAAGTGGTTTAATTTCTTTAATTTGATTATGCAAAGGATCATGGGAAGGACAATCAGTTCCTGACAATAGCATACACATTACTAGAGCCAAGACATGCTTGGACAAGGAATGATATCTCCATGTAAGCTGGCTAGGAGGGACCCACAGGTAGAGACAAAGGGCAGACATTGCATCACACTGCAAGACTGTATGCACTTCGACTTAACTTTTACATTAATCATCTTTTTATAATTATTTTAATAAAAAGAAATATTTATAAAATTTTAATATTACCTCATGAGTAAATACTGCATGTCAAACAGGAATGACAATACATTACTCAATATTGCCTAATGTATTTACTCCAGCACTTTAAAAAATGTCTTCAGTTTTTGGCTTGTTTTATACATGCTAGTGAAATCACTCGTCTATTGTCATTTACATTGTACAGAATTATATTCAACATTCACATATGTACACTACTTTTGTAGTCATTAACAAAAATAAAATTTATAATTTTTGTTGAAATCAGCCAGACTGATAAGCATTACCTTTTCTTCCATAGAAATGATAAACATATCATAAAATCTATCACATATTTAGATTTTTTTGTGTTTAGCCTTATGAATATCACTCGCATATTTGTTACACAATAGAGCATATTTAGGCTATTTATTAAAATACTGTATTTGTTTTCTATGATAATGTTTTTAACAATGTGTAATTAAAAACACTACCAGAAATTATCACATTAATGTATCAAGGATTTAATTATCAAAGTCTCCGAGAAAAGATGTTTCCAATGATACAAATGTTATACACACACTGGTAATGCAGTCTCTGGTTGTAGTAAAGTCGTTCAAATCATATTTTGTTCTTTGTAAAAATTGTGAGACGGCAAACATCTCCTATGTAATGTGCCAGGAGAAATCCCCTTAATTTCTTGGGAGAAGTGTCTTGTTTTCTATATTATATCTACATAGAACACATGAGATCATTCCACATTCTCCAACAAAAATTATTTCAAAATGTAGTTTTCCAAACATTATTACTTTATGAATACTTAACCAGCAATAAATTTAGAGGCAGAGACAAATGTTGAATTATTTTGTATACAATATGTGAAATAAGAATGAGTTATGATTAATAAGATGCATTTCTGAGCTGGCCCACATTTGGAATGGAGCACTAATTATGCAGGGGGATAATGAATTATTGGTCTCACGACGGTAACCACAAGGCACTTGAGCCATGTAGGTACATTCCCCATTCGTTGTCCTTAATTCACAGATTTTTTGTTATACACATATACCCATCACAAAACTCTTGATCCCTGAAGCATTTGAATCCAGTCAGCAAGGGTCTTCATACCCCTTGGCAGTCCAGTGCTGTTTCCACTTAGCCAGCGACTGTACAAAAGGATTGGGAAGTTGTGAGACCTATATGCCCCAACATCTGACAGCACTCGTGGCATCAATGGGCACAGATATTTCATCAAATTAGTGAAGTGATTTGATGATATATCTGTGCCCAATATTACCACAAGTGCTGTCAGGTGATGGGGCAAATAGGTCTAACGACTTCCCAATACTTTTGTACAGTCGCTGGATAAGTGGTAACAGCACTGGATTGCCAAACGGTATGGAGGCCCTGGCTGACTGGGTTCGAATCCTTCAGCAGTCAAGAGTTTTCTGATGCTTGTTGACTTGGGGACCATTCAAGCTTTATGCCCATATACCCCATGTAACTTTACTGTACATTAAATTTACACAGTGTCATGTGAAGGTCTATGTTATTGAGATGCAGAAGCTGCTTGTGCTTTCTTACGATCTGCAGCTGCCTTGTTTGCAGCAACAGTTTTGTTTTTATTGCTGTTGGACTGAGACTCTTCAGATGGTGGTGGCGGAACATAGGGGCGCCAATTGAGGCACTTGGGGTCAATTTCCTTATAGTCAGCCCGTCGTCGCTTTTGCCGTTCCAAGAACTCCTCCAACAAATCCTGAAGAATGTCAGAACTATAAGGCTCAAATTACAATCCATTGAAATATAGCATGTCAGCATCTTTATGTATAATTAAAGATAAACATTGTACATTTACAAATATTAAATTAAATTGGATGTTAAATATTTATTACTTTCAGTAAGGTATTAGTAAAATCTCCATTCACATACTAATCAAATTTTCAAAATGTATATCAAATAAACTGCATTGAATGAAACATATTCTAAATTTGTAAATATCTAAACCAAAAAATGTTCTTCAGATAAAAAGAGCACTAATAATGCAGTGCTCTATAATAGTGCAGTGCATTAATAATGCAGAATTAAATAATAATTTAATTTTAATTAAACTAGGCAACATACTTGTCTTTTCAGAAGGATGTGTTTCCCTTTCCAATATTTCATCATGCCCATAGCCTGGAAGGTGCTCACAATATCATATGCATTTACAGCCATTTCTGTACTCATATCTGTAGAAATAGGAAAATAGTTGTAAGTCATGTTAGAAATATACAAAATATATGTAGGACTGTATTTTAGCCTTAAAATTGCACAGTATAAAGAATGTATATTTCTAGAATGGTGGCTCCCTGTAGCTAGCTGTACTGGGACAGCTCTCATTGTGCTTCATTGTTTATCATTTTATCTGCTGCCATGATTCTCTGAAGAAATACCTTTTCTGGGGGATGTGGTAGCCCCTTGTAGCTCTCTCTTAGTTACTGTATATTATGGTACCATCTACTAGGTCGCATCAGCCGTGGAGCTCTATAGGCTTACTGGGGTCCAGTACAGAACCTGCCCCACCTCAGAGACACAGGGACCGGTGACATTTTATTTTTGCCATCTCACTGGGGAAGGCAACCATAAAGTCATTGATTCATAACAAACCACTGATGGATTAAAAAAACAGCGTTGAATGTAATGAAACGCCATTTTCTGGGTGAGACCCGGAGGCTCCCTAGAAACTTTGGCATCAGTCATGTGTATGGAGTTCTGTGGGCATACTGGGGATCATGAGCCAGAACCTGGCCCTCCCTCAGAGAGGCATGGGAAGCAATGGCCTATAGAAACCCGTGTGGTTGGAAGCATTCTATGTCTGCCATTGACGGGGTTAGGCACCCAGAAAGGTAAGCATCCCAAAACAAACCCCCATTCTGGTGACAATTTTGCTACCAAAAGTCGAACAAGTGGATAGAACTCCCCTAAAAGAAACGAGCAAACGAGCATGACGTCACACGTCGCTGCCCCGCTGTCTGCGCAGCTCCCCTCCCCAAGAGGGGGAAGGGGAAACCCCAGACCCCCGCGCCGGCTATCCACCCTTCAGTTCTAAGGCGGATGCTAGAGGCAGTGGTCGTGTGCCTGGCTTCAGAGTTTCCAGCACTGTGCTTTGAGTGTGATGGCTGTCTTCCAGGGGTGCGAGAGCCAGTAGTTATTCTACAGTACTCGGGCTGTGTGCGCCTAGGGTTATCATCGTAAAATGTACATTATGGAAACGGAACACAAAGAAAAGCCGTAGCAAGGACCACAATCCTAGTGCCCCCGTCTCAACAAACAGGAACCATAGGGGCAGGAGTGGTTGATCTGAAAGCTACATCCACCCGCAGACATTGCAACACAGAAGTGGGCAGTGACAGACAAGGAAAAATGAAAAAACACAGGTACATAACAGAACACTGGGACAGTTCCAAATCAGGGAACTGAACATGTACAGAGGCCAACCGAGCACCAACATTACTATAACCAATAAGCACCTACTAAGACACACAACAATATGTAGTATAGAGGTAGGAAATATGAAATTAGGCAATGAAAAGACCCTAAATACGGTCCAAGCACCATTAGCTAGAGACAAGAGAGCACAATGAATAGGACGAATGAAGAGGATCCAAGTAACGGCTGGTAACGTAATGTACACGACCAACCACATATACAGAGAGAACCCAATGTAAATAAGGGTGCAGCCAGGCACTGAAAGACAGGCAATGAAGGAGAATCCAGAGAGCATAGCCCGAGTCAATGAATAAGTGTACAGACAGCAAGGATGGAGGAAACGAAAGAGTGTCCAGATATCGAGAAAAAATCCAGGCACCGAAAGATTAAACAAAAGGCACCGAAAATTGGGGCTGCGCCCCACAGTGTAACGAAGAACAAGACACACTGACAAAGTAAAGCTACAAAAAGACGCATGCAAAGTAGCCAAGTAACACATAACACCCCACCAAAAATCGAGAACCAGCGCCTGGGTGACAGAGTCGCCAGACTGTATAATCTCACCTGCAAAGCGGAGACACAACAGTGTCACAACACAGCGGAGCCGTGTAATATACCAGGAGCATCGCTAATGTCGTATGTCCAGCGGTACGGGCCCAGGAGGAGAAGACGAGGTGCAGTACAAAAGGTGGAGGTGGTGCCACTCTGAGCCGCCCCACACCCGTAAGCAGAGAAAATAACTGGGTGAATTCCCTACACATAAAATCCAGAACACCCCAGTATCTAGGGGCTATGACCGGAGAGAAGATGAGGAGAACAGCGTATAAGCCGCAAAAAACGACACGGAACACCAACACATGTACACCGCCCAGAAACAAAACGATTTCCTCGGCCCATGCGCCTGAGGTCCAAACTGCCCTACCCGTCTTCCGGGGAGGGTGCCAGCAAGGTGTATGTAACAAACATCAAGAATGTCAAGACAGGAAGGAGAGACGATGTGAATACAAAATAATGCGAAACAGAGCCGAAAGAAGACAATCGAAGGAAGAGGACCATCGAGTCTGAGAAAGGACTGGAGGGAGGCCTAACCAGAAGTCAACAGACGTTCCAATAATATTATAAGTATTGAAGAGTTTCACGAGCCCTTGAGAATCATGAGAAGCAAGCACGGAGGCACATATGGGCCCAATGGCACCCTAGACCAAAGGCCACGCAGGGAACCTGATACGAAGGGAACATGAATGCAGCATGGAGAAAAGTACATGCACAAGAGATAAAGGGTAAGAAGCGGTGAAAAGCACCCACAGGAAGGACGGAACTGACGGACCCAAAGGGACACGGAACCAAACCTGGGAAGGGGCAGACACGAACCAACTCTGAAGCAGAGGGGGAAGGAAAACCCCACACTGAGAAACTGCAAGCCCTGCTCCGAGGGCACAAAACCCAAGCGGGGCAAATGGGGCCAAGGCCCCCCAGTCAACCCCTCCACAACCTCGGGAACCCCCATGGCAGGAAAAAGAAAAAGCCTCACAAGAAAAAGCCGGGGCAGCTGTAAAAACACTAAGGAAGGGAGCCCACTGGTTAGACCCATATGCTACGGCTGGAGGAACAGGCTCAAATGCCTCTGCCGCCACCCCGGAAGAGGAAACTGCCCGAGTCTCAACCCAACTAGACCCAGCCCCAAACTTCGAAACCCGTAGACATTTCGGAGCCAGAAGCAAGGGGGAGGAATGTATGCACAACAGAATGGGAAGAACGAGGTGGGGCTGACGGAATCAGAGCCAAAGCGACTTCCACCCTAAAGTCTGGACCCCTATAACCAAAACGGGGCAGTTTCGGGGCATCTGGCGCAACCCATCGAGTGCGCTGCAGCAACCAAACTAAGCATGCAACGCAGCAGCTACCTGCATCCACATATGTTGAGTAGCATGGAGCACGTACAGATACCAATGTCGCACGACTCTGGGTCAAAAGAATCACCGATCCAACAGGCAGCTTGGTGGAGGCACAACTAGCGAGTGTCGCCCCAAGACAGGGGGGGACAGAGCAACCTTCAAAATCGCAAGAAGCGAGAGGGGACTCAAGGGTCACATCCACCGGACCACGGAGCCCCCGCGGGGTTACCCAGGGCCCTTAGCCATTTTAACACACTAAGGGAAGTCCAGGCAGGGTACTACAAACCGGCGCTCAAATCTGCCAAACAAACTGCTAAAAGCTGAACCCCCGGGATGTGTCCACTCACGGGGGCTAAGCGGGGGATACCACCAACCACAGAATATATATATATACACCCCAACAGCTAAGGGGAAATATGCAGGCAGACTTCCCTACCAGGCAGAAAACAAAAGACAAAAGAAAAACCTTGCAAGAGGACAACATACCCAGGCGGAACAAAGCCAGCCGCTATAATTGGTGAAAACTAGCTATGCAGTACCCGCGCCCCTACCAGTGACGAAAACTACCCTCTACCCAGGAAAACATAAGGGCAAGAAAACCCCAGCAGACCCCAAGGGCCGAGCAGTAAAAGGCACAGCGGAGGCAGATCCCAAGGTGACTTGTGGAAGGTGGCCCCAAGCCCCAAGGGCAGTACTTACAGGGCACCTAAGGAAGGTAGAGTTTTAGGTGCATGCAGCCCGAGTACCAGAGGGAGCCGGTGGCTGAGCGGTGGTGGCCCCAAGCCCCAAGGGCAGTACTTACAGGGCACCTAAAGAAGGTAGCCCTAGGTGCATGCAGCCCGAGTACCAGAGGGAGCCGGTGGCTGAGCGGACAGAACACTGGTCGCGTGATCCTGTGGTCCCGGGTTCGATCCCGGGCGCCAGCAAGAAACAATGGGCAGAGTTTCTTTCACCCTGATGCTCCTGTTACCTAGCAGTAAATAGGTACCTGGGAGTTAGTCAGCTGTCATGGGCTGCTTCCTGGGGGTGGAGGCCTGGTCGAGGACCGGGACGCGGGGACACTAAAGCCCCGAAATCATCTCAAGATAACCTCAAGATAACCATGGAATATTACTACTGGCTCACACACCACCTGGAGAGACAACCCATGTCACTAGACACAGAACTGAGACAAAAATTCCAGAGCCAGAGGTACAAGACTTTCCCAGAATCAGCCAAGAACTGAAGGTTGGGTCGCTGGCGCAAGGGTCTGGGGCTCCCCCTTCCCAATCCCAGGAAGGAGGGGGGGGTTGCGAAGACGGCGGTGCGGCAACATGGTGACGTCATGCTCGTTTGCTAATTTTCGTTTGGGGAGTTCTGTCCACTCGTTTGGCTTTCAGTAGTAATAGTTTCACCAGAATAGGGGTTTGTTTTCGGGCGCATACCTTTCTGGGTGCCTGTCCCGGTCGATGGCAGACATAGAATGCTCCCAACCACAGGAAGGTTTCTATAGGCCATTGCTCCTTGTGCCTCTCTGATGGAGGCCAGGTTTTGGCTCATGGTCCCCGGTAGGCAAAAACTCCAAGCACATTGACTAATGCCAGAAAGTTATACATATCCATTCAGCCTGGATAGCTCTGGGGAGCCGACGGGGTTCCCCCCAGAAAACTTTGCAAAATTCTGATAAAGAGATCTAGGGGGGGGGGGGGGGGTTTGTTCTAGATAGCAGTACTTACATACTTGCACCAAAAAAAAATTGGCTCGCATTGGCCATTGCCGCTAGCGTGGGAATCATATTACTGAGGATGACAAAGAACACTGTGTGAGGAGCTTATGCTATGCTTTTTAATTTCAGAACTGCTTTTACATACATGGATGGTGAAATACTAAAAATAAATTTTCTTGACCATTGTGAGACCAAAGCTGGATTGTTCAGCAGTTGTATGGTGCCCATATCTTAAGAAGCACATCAACAAACTGGAAAAGGTGCAAAGACAAGCAACTAAATGGCACTGATATTGTTAATATTTTCCATATACTATTGGCTAAGTTCACTGTGCAAATTATTTATTCAAGCTGTCAAATGATGCACAACTACCAGGAGAACATTTATGTAATTATATTTCTCCCTAATTACCAATATTTCTCACAATTCTCTCCCAAAAACCTTTTATATCAAAGGCAGGACCACAACACCAAGCCAACTTTACCATGAAATATCTTAGGAACTTGCTCTAATATATATATACTGTACAGTATAGTTTATTTGTTTATTAATTTATTAGATATTTGTTTATTATTTATTAGATATAAAATTATATCCAATAAACAGATATAGTTTCATATCTATTTTCAGAACAAGCCAACATTGCCAGGCAAGTGTGCAAAAAACTGGCTTACCCTAACCCACAGGAAGCTTGGGTGCTATCTGACAGAGTTCAGGGTATTTGGTTTAGTGGCTATTAGCTAATTCATAGAGTTGTTTAGTGATCTGAGATTTCCAAGCATTGTTGTAGGAGTGTTGGGGTTTGTTTTCTTTTCTCACCAGTAGACCCTCAGTAGTGGTTGTTTTTTGTATACTAATAAGCCCAAGCCATGTTGACAGTGAAAGGAAAGGTGGTGCTTGTGCCTGGAGTGCCAAGTTTATCAGCTAATGTCTAGCAATTAAAATGTTGTTCTATACATCTCGATGTGGTAAGCTGAGAAAAGCTACCGAGAGGTGCAAACTCAGAAATATATAGATTGGACACCATAAGCATGGGTACAGTATATGCTCATGCTGCCTACACACTCAACCAATGTATCTATAGTATCTGTACTATATCTATATCTGAAACACCCACCAATTATATACACTCATTAATTCTTCCCTCCTACTAAAACAGAACTTACCTTTGATATAAACATTCTTCTCGGTGTAGCTAGCCAGGTAATTCAGGAGAAGGTCCTTCCAATACGATCGATATGAAATGAGACCAAGGTCACTTAAAGGCTTCTCAGGTGAGCCAATCTTGCCCTCATTTTTTGTTAGAAGATAACCTGAAACACATTCAAAATTATATTTTAAGAAAAAGGCAATAAAACTTAAAAGTGGAATATAAAATAATGAAATATTATAAAATAAACATTTTAAATAAAAAACCAGCGTTGAATGTATTCAAACTCCATTTTCTGGGCGAGCCCCGGAGGCTCCCTGGAGCTATCGGACTAATATATGCTATATTAGTCTAGGGCATCAGTAAAGTGGAGTTCTGCCTACTGGGTACCATGAGCCAAAACCTGGACCCCTCAGAGAGGCACAGGGAGCAATGGTGTATGGGAATTCCCATGTGCTTAGGAGCATTCCATGTCTGCCATCGACTGGGGTTAGGCACCCAGAAAGGCAGGAATAACAAAACAAGCCCCACTTGGTAAGAAATTCCAACCGAAGACTGAACACAGAAAACTAACCCAAAAAATAAGGAAACAAGCAAACAAACAAACGTCATTCACCGCCGCTGAGCCGCTTGTTCACACAGCCCTCTCTTCCCCGGGAGGGAGAGGGGAGCACCGGACCCACCGCCGGCTACTCACACCTCAATTCAGAGGTTAAACATCAAAACAAAACCGCTAACTGGAGGGAGGGAAAGTACCAAGGAGCCTCCAGGGCTCACTCGGAAAATGGCATTTCATTACATTCAACTCCGATTTTGTGTGGGGAGCCCCGTCAGCTCCCTAGAGCTAGCTACCCAAAGACAAGTAAAAGAGGAACTTACCCTGGAGGCGGTCGCCACACACACATCAACTCGAAGTCGAGATAACTGGCTGCAACCTGCGACCCAAAGCCACACATGAACAACCAGGATCAAGAATATTGACCAAATAACGAGCGGCCAGGACCCTGTTTGACTTCCAAAACCCCAGTGTCTGAATGTCAGCCCAAGATATGTTGCCAAAAACGGCAGTCAAAGCAGCATATTTACGAACGTCTAAGGCACGAAGGTAGACCACAGGCTGGCTAGACTTAATAGCCCTATGGACAACCTGAGAGACCCGAACCCTGGAATAGGGAACAAGGGAAATCAGGTCAGCCCAAAGCACGTCCACAGCCACAGAGGCGGAGGCGCGCAGGTAACAGCAAAGAGCCGCAACCGGACACAACGCATGATACACCCTCAGCCTTACCAACCAAGCATCATTAACTCAAGGGCACCTCCGGAAGCCCACCATCTCGTTCTTTGCTAGAAAGAAGGAGATGGCTGCAAACGAACAAACCAACCACCAGGACCAAAAGAGCAGAAACCCCTGTGCCGGAGGAAAGCATGAAGCTCACCAACCCGACCCCCTGAGGCCAATGCCAACAGAAACAGAGCCTTGGAAAAACAATCTTGAACTGAAGGGGCCACCACAAACCGATGAGAAGAGAGAAAAGAGAGCACCCGATCTAAGAACCATGATGGCTCAGCTGGCGCATGAGCAGGCAGGAGGCGAAATAAAGCACGAGATAGCTTACAGAATGGGGCGGAAGTGACACCCACTCCGAATGCAAGCTGGAGTGGCTCCCCCAGCACCACACAATAAGAGGTGACAGTATTGGGCATCAAATGATAGTCCTGAAAAAGCCAACAAAGAAAGGTCAAAACATCCCGAACGGAAATAGAAGACAACCTACGAAGAGAGAGGAAATGGTGAAAAGAACGCCAGGAAACTTCATACTGTCGCTGAGATGAACTCCACAGGTGAGACACCATTAATGAAGCCATCTGATCACCATACAAGTGGTGATACAGCCACATAAAAAAAGACCAGAGGCGAATAGCGGAGGAGTAGACTGAACCAGCTATGTACCGGGTTGGCCTTATCTGCTGAAAGGGGCGGAGCCGGGTTCAGACACCGAGCACGCAAGCTGAAACCAAGGCTGGGCTGGCCACCAAGGGGCCACAAGGATGACTCTCCCGTGATAAGACTGCAAAAGAGCCAGAACCCGAAGCAACAGCTGGACCGGAGGGAAGAGGTATAGGTAACCCCACCTCGACCAGTCCTGCCAAAAGGTGTCCACCGCAATGACTCCGTAGTTGGGGAAGGGCACCACATATACAGAACTGGGAGATGCTGATACCAAGCCGACGTGAGGAGGTCCACCTCCAGGAGCCCGTACGTCCAGCAGAAGAAGTCGACATCGACCGTCCAATCTGTGGACAGCGGAATGAACCAATACAGGCCATACACCAGGGCGTTGGACACTCCCTGGATGTTAACCACATGGAGAGCCAACCCTCAGAAACCAGCAGACAAGTCACTCGAAGCGAACAGTTCCAAAGAGCCAAAGACCAAAGAGAATCCCCACGGTTCAGACAATGAACCACCGGAGAGCAGTCCGAATGAAGCTGGATCGAAGAACCCCGAGCGATTCAAACCCTCCGAAGCGACAGCCAAACCGTTGCAAACTCCCGCACTGTACCGTGAGCCCAACAAAAGGACGGAGCCCACCGCCCCTGGCTGGCCTGATGGGCACTGGCCACAAAATCCCAGCCGAGAGACGAGGCACCCGTGAACACATCGAGCGAGAGCTCGGGTAGGCGCCAAGGTACTGAACCCTGAAAAACCCAAAGAGGAAGCCGGCGATGCAGCAACTGATGCAAGGCTCCCAGAGGCTGAACCCAGCAGTCGCGAGAGAGGTGAAAGGGATGGCCCTGTAGGAACCAGAACAGACGCCGAAGCCATACCCGACCTATTGGGAAAACCAGCACGGCAAAGTTCAGACTCTCGCACAGCTGCTAGAACAACCGACGAGTGACCAGAGTGCCCTCCAAAAACAGCCGAAGGCAGGACTGCTGCCGCAGCAACGCGAATCGATGGAGAGACAAGGAAGCGGTCCGAGAGTCCCACGCAGAACCCAGCCAAGTTCGAACCAGAGAGGGAACCAAATGGGATTTCCTCCAGTTCACCAAGAACCAGAACCCGGTGAGCTGGGAAAGAACCAAATCCCTGGTGAGCAGACACGCGGACCGGCTGGGCGCTCAGACCAGCCAGTCGTCGAGGTAAGCCTGAACCCGAACCTCTAACAGATGCAAACGGGTCACCACGACCTGGGTAAGGCATGTAAAAACGCAAAGTGCCAGATACAAGCTGAATGGAAGGCAACGAAAGCGGTAAGTATGCTGCCCAACAACAAAACCGAGCCAGCCCCTGAACCCCGGATGAATCGAAACGTGCCAATATGTGTCCCGGATAGAACTCCTAGCCATCCAACACCACTGAAGGCTGGAGGAGATGACCCAAAATGCCCACGAATCGTGGGACCAGGTGAAAGCAAACAGGGCAAGCCTTCCCCCATCGCCTCGACAACAGGGTGAACTGTGAGAGGGCCGACGACCCTTACAAGAATCCGACCAATGCACAGAGCAAGCACTGCGCTGACCAGATGCCGATGGCTCCGCAGGAGGGACTGGCTCCGAATCTGGCACTGCTGGCTTATGACAACCCGAGCCCTGGCAGGACCCCCACAGCCCCCTCCCCCCCAGAGAACCAACAAGTCTGACATAGGCCAGCAATTAGACGAAGCCACCTGCAGAAAATGCATCACTGCAGTCTCGGCAAACAGCAATAGACAAAAATGAGACAAAAATCTAAGAGCCAGCGCCCAAGCAGATTCCAAAGAGTGGATGAGCACCAAATATTGGCACACGAGGCTAGAAACAAAGAACAGAAGTACCGCTTCCCTCAGAATCTGCACAAACAACTTCAACAAGACAGCCGACGCCCGAGCCGCTGAGACAAGCGCACCGGACACTGGCCCGGAACCCAGCTCCTCCACATTCTCCTCGAGCCAGTCTGAAGACAGTTCCAGCAGGGAAAAGAAGAGCAAGACCGAAGCCAAATTCCCACGGGTGCGCAAATCATCAGCTACCAAGGACGCCAAAAGAGAGGGAACCTGCACATGAAGCTGCACCTGGCTGACAACGCGATGAAGCACAGGGGGCGAACAAGCACCCATCGAGGTGCTCCAACTCACCCCTCAAGTAAAGCTGAATGACCATAGTCAACTCCCGCCAGTCAAGCGTTCGGATCCGACAGAATGCATGCCACACCCCCAAAGAAAAGAAAGGGCAGTCTGCCAGCAAGGAAAACTCCGGCACCTTGTAACACACCCAATAAGGAAAAGGAGAAGTCAAACTCAAAAGAAGAAGAATCCATTATCGAGGCATAATCTGGGTCTCGCAGGAGGTAAGCCGCAATGGCCTCCCGCACTTCCCTCGGCAGGATGCGAGAAGCCGAAGACTTCCGGAAGAAGGGAACCAAGGAACCCAAGGGAACCCGGAATCAAACCCGGGGAGGGGTCGAACTCATATAAAGTTAGAACAGGGAGGGAAGATAGGAAAGCCTCTCCCCCTGTAACAGCATGCCTCGTGCCAAGGGTACCAACACCCAAGTGGGGTCTGTGGGTGTTTTCTTTTTTGCTTTCACAACTGCAATGCGTACGTCGCCAATGTACATGTGGCAGACACTTCACGAAACTGTCAGAATTAGCAGAATAGAAAACACGAGAGCAACCATACAGGGCCTGGGAGCAAGGAGGTCAGGTCGAGGTCGAGGGAGGAGGTAGACGTACTGTGCGCGCTCCGTTAAAATCGTGACATTAACAGGGATTCTTAGGACTACTGCCGTGGATTACTGATTACAGACATAACAAAGTGCATAGTGACCCGCTGGAAAATTGAAAATAGTCATTAACAATAGAACTTTGTGTTAAATAGAGAATAAACGGGAGACCGCGTGTGAGCCAGTGAACGAGGCTTTGTGTACATGCGTGTATTAGGAAAAAAAAAAAAAAATAGTGAACGGTGATTCGTGGAACAGTGATGTGGAACGGGTATCACAACAACATATAAGTTGGAAGTGAATATTATAAATATAGAATACTAGAAATATAGAATAGTGGCAAGAGGCGGCATCAGTGGTTATAAATCGGGTAACTGGAAACTGGTGACATCAACCTGGGCCACAAGAGGTCACCTGTACCGACCGGGGACCAGCCTCGCTACCTACGCTAAGTACCT